CTAAATACATAAAATATATCAAAATATCATTTAATCTCTTAAATATGTAAGGTGGAAAGTTACAATCAAAGGGTTGCCAAAAATGGAAAGACTCATTCATTTCGAAACAGACTAAAACGAAAAGTAGGACTAAAATTTGAAATTGAGTATAAATTCTGAACAATGGGTTCAATTTTCAAGACTAACCTGGCAAGAGGAGGACTTAAAAGCTCCCTGTCAACTCTACCCGGCAAATTAGAGTCAACCGAGTTCTGTTTAGGCAGAGAATTGAGCTCAGGGAGCGGCAACGGCAGTGGCACAGCAGAGGAGTTAGAACAGTGACGGAGGTGGTGGTGAGACGACCTAGAACCCGACCCGAAATCAGCGTAAGAATCAGGAGAACCCGGCAAAGACTTTGAACGTTCATCAATAATCAGTGCCTGAATATTAGGTCTCCGCAAACCAATATCCTCATCACTAACATGTCTCAACTTCCTCTGCCTAGTAAGCTTCCTTCCGCCGCCGTAAATCCGCCGGGTATTCGGTGAATAGGCCGGAGAAGAAGTAGTACTAGCAGTAGTAGAAGAAGAAGAAGAGTGTTGAGAACTTGAAGATAGTGAAAATGCTTTCCATAAAGACGGCATTTTTCATGGCAAACAAATACAGAGAGAAAAAAAAAAATGAGACTACCCAGAAATGAGGAATGGGATTTTAATGAAGCAATGCATTGAAAGAGAACTTTTTTGTCAATGTTTGAATGTTTCTTAAGTGAAAAAGAAGGATGGTTATAATTTGTTGTTACAAGTCAGAAACACGATTTCTTGTATTTCTGTAAAGTCAAAATTACCTGTAGTAATCGTTTCAATTTATGATATAATTGAACTTAAAATTTATAATTTAAAATAAGTTATTTATATTATGTGTATGTAAATTATTTTAAAAGAGAAATATTGAAAATACTTTGAACTTGGTGTAAAATATTAGTTCCATTCTCAAACTAATAACAATCTTAAAAATGCTCTTTACTTGACTAATAAACTTAGATATACCCTGATCTGCCACATGACATAGCACGTGATTTCAAACTCTTGTAGGAGTATCAGACCTTCAGTTAAAAAAATTGTGAAAAGTATTGAAAACATCTCTAAATTTGGCGAGAATTTAAAAGTGTATTTCTCTTATGTTGCAAGATCGGGGGCGTATTTAAGTTCAATTAGTCAAGTAAAAAGGGTATATCTAATTAAACTTAGATATACCCTGATCTGCTATATGACATAACAAGTTATCTCAAATTTTCGTAGAAATATGACACTCTTAAAAAAAATTGAGAGAAGTGTTGAAAACACCCTAAATTTGGTGAGAATTTAGGGATGTATTTCATCATATTGTAAGATCATAGTGTATTTAAGTACAATTGCCAAGTAAAAAACTATTTTATAAGATTGTCAATAATTTAAAAATGAAACTAATAAATTTATAAAAATATTTTTAATACTTATCTCTTATTTTATCGGGAATAAAGGGATAGTAAATATTTTGTGAGTATAGGTGTGTAAGTATATGAAAGGATTTTCCATGGTATTACGAGGTCAAGGTTGACCCTTGACAAAAGAAAAAACGAGGAGCGTGTTAATTAAAATTGAGAAACTCTAAAAGTACGCTGAAAAAAACATGTTGGTGTTTGCTTTGCTCCCTGGGAACAGCCCTATTCTTTCGTATTTATATTAGAGCTTTGATTAAATTTAATGAAAAAATTTAAACTTTAACTAGGAAATTGAAAATATGAAAAAAACAAAACAAAAAAAAACTAAATAAACTCATATATATATAGAGAGAGAGAGCGCTTTTTATATAGAGCTTTGATTAAATTTAATGAAAAAATTTAAATTTTAACTAGGAAATTGAAAATATGAAAAAAATAAAGAATACAAAAAAAACTAAATAAACTCAATATATATATATTTATATATATATATAAAAGATCATTTTAAATATACAGTATAATTTTCTGTCGGAAAAAGTTGATAAACCCCCTTGCTCCTACTTAGTTTTGCCCTAAATTAAATTTAAGAAGTTGTTTGGTCATGAGAACTATTGACTTTTTTTGGAGTAAGTTTAAGTTAGTGTTTAGTTATAATATTTTTAAATCCAATTTGGAGTTTAGATTCTAAACTTGGAAAAGTTTCAAACTCCAGCACTTACAACAACAACAACAATCCATCATGCATGTGTGATCCCACAAATAGGGATTGAAAAAGATAGACGGTTTTTAATAGATCATTAGCTTAAAATGATTATTTTTTACTTCTATTTGTGTAAATTCTTAACGAAGTGCTCTCTTTCCTTTTTTTTTTCCGAAAAGTATAATCAAATACAATTTCATTGATATTGACAAGTGAATTAGTGCATTAAAAAAACATTAATTGGAACGCGTTATTTATATTTATTATATAGTGTAGAATAGAAAGAAATGAAAGCTGAGAGTCACTGCCACTTTGACACTTCAACACTCCTTGCTAGCCCTGCCGCTGCCGACCCAGTCAACTCACGTTCCATTTTTGTGATAAGTGATAACAATTGACACGTATATTATTTGTCTCAATTTATATTTCGTATTTTCATGTTCAAATTATATGAATTTTGATTGAGATATATTATTTTTTTAGTATATGAACATGAAAAAAAATTTCAACCTATATACTTTTATTTTGTTTTCAGTTAAATTAGTATGTCTAATCGTATAGTTTTTCCTATACGTAGTGACATTGAAGCCATATTTGTTGGGTGAGAGGAACCAATGACAAAATTAAAGAAAATTAAGAACGATTTTCAATTTTATAATTTTAAATATAATAATACATACTATAAATTAACACAAAAGGAAATAATTGTTGATCTGGAATGAATAGTAAGAAACATATTATACGAGGTAAAATACATGGATATTAAGGAAAATATTACATTGTTTGACATCAATTTCTTTTTACATAGATATTGTGTTGTGAACCAAATTGACCCCGTAAGAGCCTACGGGCTATTAGAGAGTTTTATTTGGGATTCAGACTCATTTACATCTTGTTAAAAAGGATTAGGAGTTAGAAGAACGGTTCTGAAAATTATGTCAAAGCTTCTCTCATTTCCATTTCGGTTTTAGTATCTCATCCCCTTCTGATTACCTTTTTACTCTGTATTATCTCCTTAGCTAATGTTGCTATTACCTTTGTTGCTCAGATTCTAAGTTATAACTCTTATTCAGTGATCTTATAATATATATTAGTACTTGTGTTGGAAATATGATTTATTTCACATTGTGCGAGTTTTTTTTTATATAATCAAATCAAGTTGTCTATAAGAACACAATAATACAACAAAGTCGATATACTAATTTTAAAGATATAGCAATGACGTGCTATAATAAGGGGTAGAGTTGATTTTTTAGGTCATTAACAATTACTTATTATTTTTTATTTTTACATGTAAAATATCTAAAAAGCTATTTTTTTCTTTAGTTCAAGTCGTAGTGACTTACGGATCTTAAGTCCTCTAGTAATGTGAAATATTATTTGGAATATATATACTTTGAAATATGTGTAACAACCAAATACTATTTTTGATCCTCTCTTCTTCTTTTCTTTATGTTCATACTCCATCAAAATTCAATATTTCATACCTTGTGAATCATGACTAACAAAGGATGTTTTTTGTGGGGAAAAAAAAAGAGAAGAAGAAAAGATTCTCTTATTTATTTGGAATGCCATAAATTTTCCTAAAAAGTATATTAGAGTATATTACAAGTGTAACTTGTGAACTTGTAATTGGTGAAACATATGATGTTTTGACCATTGAGGAAAAAATGACAAAAAAAAAAGCTCTTATGTTTGCACTTTGCGCATAGGTTAAATAGTTCTTTAAAAAAATTAAAATATGAAGTAAGCTATACAATTAGCTAAAAAACAACAGTAGTAATTAGCAACTATAATCATGTTTAGCTATACTCTATTTTAATTAGCATACTGACTAAGAATTTGAAACATATAAGAGATCATGCATATTTGATGTAAGTAAGTTGAACTAGTCAAATTAGATTGATCATTGAAATTCTTTTATATTGTCAATATAAAAAAAGTTTTAAGTTCTAATTTTTTTTCACCAATTATTAAAGGACTCATATTTAATTTTTGACCTCTTAAGAAAAGTTGTGAAAGTGTGTACATTTAGCCAGGAGTTTCTTCTTCATTGGTTTTAGTTAAAGAAACGTGAAGAATACCATTATTTGTTTCATTGAGTTTGTTTGTATAAAAGATAAAAGTGATTTATTAATTTTTAAAGGTTTGAATTAATCTAACATCTGATGACTAGCTTTAATCGGCTAAATATCAAATTTGAAGTTATCTAGTGTTGATTTGTGCAAATAATCCATTATTTTGGGTGTCAGAAAAGGTCAAGTTGGGCAAAACTAGCTTGATAAAAAAAGGAAACTTATGTAAATCTTACTAATGTAGGAGTTAATTACTAGATACACTCTAGTTTGTAATATTACATATCATATCAAATTTTAGTACGTCCAGCTACTAGATAGACACGAATCACACTAAATACACTCTCCTATCCGGTGTGATTCACATGTATCTAGGATACATAACAAATTTCGCTCGCCTCTCTCTCTAGTAGCAATAATACATGTATCTAAGTGTATCTTCTTTAATAAATGGTAGAAAACTCTTAATTAGTGGTAAGATGCGTAATATATTGAAAGTATAGATAATAATAATATAAAGTGAAGTATGTCTAATTATGTAGTTTTTCCATGAAAAAACCAATCCGAATTAGAAGGTAGAAACCTGGGTTGGGTTGGGTTGGGTTGGGTTGGGTTGGAGATGTTAAGAGAGTTGGGCCGGACTCAATTTTTGGCCCGCGAGATCAGCAGTGGTGCCGATCCATCGGGGCACCGACCCGATTGATTAGCTTTTCCTTTTTAGTTAGTTAATTAAACATGTGATTAATTAGCGATTGTAAGAGACAAAACACCCGCCGAAAAAAAATAAGCTGCCACATTTCCATGGCAGCAGCCGCCCGTTCCTCCGCCGTATTCAAACGGGCAGCTTCAACCGCCGCCCAAGTTCTCCGACACCAGAACTTCTCCTCAGCGGCGGCGGCAGCGGATATTCACCGGCCGGGGGATTTCTACTGCGACGATAGTGAAGGCGAAGAAAGTGCAGTGTATCAGCATACCCTCAAATTCCAACGCCCGTCAACCATAAAACAACACCAGCTTCTCCATAACTCCGTCAGTCTCATAGGAAAAATTGATTACCCATTCAAAAGAGTTAACACTAAAAACGGCTCTTTTGGGGTTCATACTTTACTCAGTGTCTCCGGTTCTTCTCAATCCCGTTCGTCTTTTAAGTGAGACTCTAATTTAACTACTATTTGCAAATTAATTACTATAACTATTAATCGAGTGATCGTCTGAGAAATTTTAACACTCTGCAGAGTTATGTTGAAGATGTGGGATGAAATGGCGGAAGTGTCAATGGAGCATTTGAAATCGAATGACTTGGTATACGTTTGGGGTCATTTGGGATCATACATCAAGACTGATGAGAATGGTAAACATAAGATGAGATACCAGGTTTGTAACCAGAAAAATGGTGAAAATTGGATAAAAATTTCAGCTTTGATATAGGTTAACAGCGTTGATACAAATTTGTCTAGTATTTGTTATAGGTTAACTATGATGTAGGGAATCTTAGTAGCTCAGTTGTTTGTTTATCTAAACTTTCGCCTTGTTGTTGAGGGTTCGATTCCCTACCTTGTATTTTGTCCACAACATGCAATGATTGTTGTTAACGTGGCTGATTTTTCGTAAGGGCCTATGGGCTAGAATTGGTGAAGGAGACGGATTCAGTTGGTATTATTGGGCCAAGTAAAATGTTGGAGAGTTTTATTTGGGATCCAGGCCTAAATAGCAATTGGTTAAAAAGGATTGTGTTAGAAAGAAGAGTTCTATGCCTATTATGTTGAAGCTTTGGCTCAGTCTGTTATCCCCTCATCTCCCTTCTATGTTCTAATATCTCATCTCCTTTTGGTTACCTTTTTCCATGTTATGCTCATTAGTATTGTTCAATATTACCTCATTGCTCCAATTCTCAGTTGTAATTTGGATTCGGTAGATATAGTATACGTTAGTGTTGTGTTGAGAAATTTGGATTGTTAGTAATGGCCTGGGCATGTTGGTTATCCAGCAAGCGTAGGACTGCCCATTGTGTTATGATCTAGGACTATGACAACTTTCAGTTATTTGTGAAAAAGCTCGACTGAATTGCAATAAGGAGGACAAGAGTATAGGAAGTACTTGGATACAAAGTTGCAAGTACCTTTCTTTTGTTTAACGAACTAAGTGACCTTTTTGGTTGGGACACCGAGGCGAGGATAAAATGATACAGAAAAGTGCACATAGTCTATTTACTCCTCATGAGATTATCATTATCTGCCTTTTGGCTTATTAGTGTTTTAGATTTCTGTAAGAATTCATCTTCAGATGCAATTCTCTTTCAAACTCGATCTATTTTGCTATTTAGTAGCATTGTGACATTCTATGATAACGAGAGTGATGGTATTATTGCAGCATAGCCAACTCATTAAGAGAAACCCAGTTGTCTTCTTATAACGTTCCATTTATTCTCTTTGACATAGCACACAATTTTATCTTTCAGAGAAGTGATTAATTAGAATTGCATCTGCCATTTGGTGTTTAGATTTCCTATATGAGTTGCCTTTTTTTTCCGGGTGGGTGGGGGGATATGATCAGCTTTGAATATCTCTTAAAAGACAATGGCTAATAGAGGAAGTTGTGACATAAGTGCACCTATTCTTTAACAGTTAAATTTTCTCCTGGATCTTCAAAGAACAAAAAGGATGGAAACAAGAAATACCCTCAAGAAAACATGATCCCGCATTAGATGTGTTTTTGTAAATTTGAGATCCTGTGCTGAACAAAATGCTTTTTCTTTTTCCATATTTTTATGTAGCTTGTGCTGCACAAAAATGTTTTCATTTCATGTTTTCATGTACTGATTCTTTTGTGAAGGTAGATGTGAAGGAAATAAATTTCGTGACTCCAGATGTTCAAGCCTTAGCAACCCCAGAATTTCAGAAGAAAGAATCAAGAGGTACATGTGGCCTTTCCTAGCATTTTTTATTAGTTATGATGTTCATAGATTGTAACCAATTGGCAGACATTTTCTATATCGGAGTGCAATGGGCCTAAATAGAGCATTGTACATGCAGCATGTCTGAATAATTGAAAAGTAGCAGACAGTAGGAGGATAACTTCTAAATTTCTAAAACGAAGCTTCAGAAGTAATATAAATCAAATATTAACTTTTGACACATTCACTATAGCCTAATTTTAAAATCTAAAAGTATGATTTTACTTAGTATAGGAAAATACACCTTATTGTGAGATACTCGTTGTCACTTCCACCTTTCAATTCTTCGAGTTAAAATGGATGGGGTGGGAATTTCTGTCCTGACAACAGAAAGAATAAACAACTAAAGAGACTTTATAAAATGCTCACATAATCCAGGTTTTGGTGATCCTGTTTTTTATAGTTCTCTTGCCCCCTATGACCATTACATTTGGTTGATTATTGGAACTAATGGGATATTGAGACATGAACTGAATTATGAACTTGCTCGGAAAATCCTCCAACAATTTGCTGCTTTGGATGATGTTTTGAATCATTTGACACTTTTTTTAGCACTAAACCAAAATGCTTGGTTGCCCAGTAATCCAATCAATCAAGCTTTAGAGTGATTGATGGTGCAGGACTGTGCATGTTGGGTATTGAAATTTGTTGATCCTACATATATATGCTTCTTCGAACTCGTTAACTCATTTCTGGCTTTCTCAGGTGAAGATGAATTGGAGAACTACAGGAACCGGATCCAATTGTGGCAAATTTTCTTAGCTAGCCCTTTTGAATGGATGGACTTCAGGAAGAGTAAAATCAATCCTAAATACCCAGACTTTAAGAACAGAGATACTGGTGAAGTTCTCTGGCTCAGGACAGATGATCCACCATGGATAAAAAGACAGTTGGATATCCTAGATTCAAGATTTTCTTACGAAAGTTTCTAAGAACAATTAAGCTCCATCAAAGACATGTCCTTTTGAAGGGCCCAGAGCAATGTTGAAACCTGGTCGAAGAGAAGTTCCATGGGTCTTCACAAACATCAAAGGTACTGTTGGCTATGTGCATACTTCGTATAATACAACTTGCTTTGGTAAATAGAACAGGATCTATCCCCATTATAAATGAGAAGAAAGCCACTGTTTGTTTATGTCACAAGTTATGTAATCTTAGCAGTAGTACTAGTTGTTTAGTGCTGCTTCTTGAAAAATATGTCTTGTACATAAGCTTCTTGTAATACTTGTATTATGAAATTTCTTGACCGTTTCCATGTTACCAACGTATGCTGGTTCGTTCTCATGAACACTATGCTTATCGAGTTCATATCGACGATCAGTTCCTTCGTCATTATTTTACGTGGGAGCTTATAGTTAAGTTAATAAAAATAAGGGCAAATACGAGACAAAGTATTTCTTGTATGCCTAGTAATACATGGCAAATTTAAGCATTTCCCTATTTATATATGGGATATTTTGAGGTATAGATATTTTTTATTTAGTCTTCCAGAAGGATTTAAGTGTTAATACACTTGTAAAACACTATAATCAGATAATTGAAGTGAGTTAGAAAATTTTTTAGTGTTGACTACGAAATAAGTCGGGTTAAATTTATCATAAAAAATCAAGATTTTTATTAGGAGAATTCAAAATATATCGTGAAATTTTTCGATGCAAAGATTTATGTGCGTAAATAATTGATGTATTTGGTGGGGAAAATCATTTCTTATCTCCTATAGTACAATTTTTCACTTCATCAGTGGAATACAAAATAATGAACCTACCATTTTGAGTCTTTATTAGGATGACTTTTATAGACTTTCGTATCCAATTTGAACTTTTTAAGTCCCTAATATATGTCCAAATATATAGTGAAAGAAAAGTCATGGTATGCCAATATACGATAAGTTAATTTATCCATTGGTCTAAAATGACAATTATTACTATAGTCTATAATATTATATATATATATATATATATATATATATATATCCATTGGTCTAAAATGACAATTATTACAATAGTCTATAATATTATATATATATATATATCCTTTAATTATGTGATGAGTAAAAGTACATGAAATATCGCATATTTTAAGAGTAATTATGTAGTTTGATATTTTATTTTATGTTCTATCTCGCATAAAGTAATATATAATTATTTTTTGTATAATTGAATGTATATTGTCGACCAAATACAAAGTTATGTAGATTTTTAATCTTAGGAAGATGAATTTAACCTATAATCTAGTACTTACAATTCCATGGTGCATATTAATGTTTCCTTCCATCTCGTAAAATTTGTGGTGGAGTGATAAGTATTCCTCCATCTTAAATCAGAGAATATAGATTCAAATATTGTGAATATATCTAGTCGTCTTTGATAGGAAATGGTTGTCCTCAAAGTGAACCTTCCAATGCGAATTTGAATCAATTAGGTCCCAAAGCAAATCTTGGACGTATAGATTTAGATATTTTTGAACACTACAATTTAACTTGTACCAATCATTTCTTTTTAGTTTTTTTACACAACTATCAACTTTGGTACAACTTCAAACATCTGGTATTTGAATTAAGGTTTATCAAACTTAACTTCCGACGCAATATCTAAAGTTATATAGGAGTGAAACTCAAACAAAAATGGTTCATGAACTTTCAAGCAAAAATGATTAAATACAATCACATATGCTAAAGTTCAGACAATGACTACATGTGCCTAAACTTCAAGTCATTTTAAATTTCAAACATTTTGTCTGGAACTTAAGCTTTATCAAGTTTAACTTCAGATTCCACGTAATATTATTTTAAAATAAATAAACTTGTAAATTATTACGTACTATAAATATAATTTAAATGATAATCTCAAAATCGAATATTTGTGCACGTTGGCCATCTTAAACAAATTAGTGAGTCAATTGTCCTTGTGGGACAGGGCAACAGTATTAGCAGCCTCCAGTAAAATGGGCCCATTAATTGCCGTGTTGACCGGGTCGGTGTACCTATGGACCACATCCAATATTAGAAAATAATCACTTAAATTAATTATGAACTACTTCCTTTGTTCTAATTTTAGTATCCTAATAAAAATTAAAAGAAAATGTCTAGCCATACTTAAAAAAGAAATAAATTACTAACAATTACCATTTTAAATTTTAAAAGATATCATCTGCAAGAATCTATTTCCAAGAACTTCACTTAAATGAGATACAAGAAGGAGTTTCAATTTTTGGTTTGATGGAAAAAGATTATCGATGTTTATTCTTTTTTTTTTATAATGTTGTAAAGCGATACAATGATTTAGAAAAGTATATTAATCCGGATTGATCCATATGAATAACCGGAGTCTAATTTATTTAGTAGCCTATGTCAATGAAAGATTATCAATTTATTTGCGTACCTTTTACTTCCATGTTTCATCTTTATACTACAACCATTTGTAAACCTAGTTTTCCTTTTGATGTGGATTGACAATTAGTTAGTTCAAATAAAGGTGAGACAAGAAGTCACGTTTAGTGACGTCGCTTTATTATTCGCTATAATATTTAATAGATAAAAGTACATTTTTTGACGTGAATTTTAATAAATCGTAATTTCAAATCAATAAACTTTTTTATAAAAAGTATAAGCGTCATTGCGATTTTTAGACTTTTGGGTTTTGAATGCGGACTTAATTTTCAAGCTCAATCGTGCCAATATCTTAAAGTCTTGGAGATAATAATTTATGATTAGTGGTATGATTAGACTTTTTTTAAGTCTCGAATTAGTAATATGTCTCAGATTTGTGTTGAATTTATTGTACTGGACGGGAGATTAAAAGGGAGAAATCATCCGAAATTATTTAATTATAGTAAAATATTGATGCAAAATTACAGATTAAAACAATTATTGTTAAATCAGATAATGACAATTGGTATTATGGGCACAAATAACCGTGTTGCAGTTTATTGTTGCTTCTGTACTTACAAAACAGTTTCCATTAAGTTACGTGAACAATATTTATAACTGTCATTTGTCATTGAATATAAGTAAATTACTTACATTATTAATATTAATATTAATATAATAAGTCTTCTTAGTACAAGGAGATCTACCTAACACTATTCTTTCACATTATATAACTTTCACATTATTGATGAAAATTCAATTTCAACGTTGTAATTTCTTCTCCCATTTGCCCCCCTCCCTCCCCCACCCCCCACCCCATGAGAACCTTCTTTAATTTCTGATTTTTTTTCAACTTTATACTACAACTGGCTTGTTTACTTGTTTTTCTTCTGGTGGACTAGACTCCATTATGCTCAAGTCTTGGAGGTCATATTGTGCTCATAGACTAGGACTGAACTCAATTATGCTAAAGTTGATGATATGATGCCGTTTAACTCTCATGAAATGTGATCGGATAAAATAAGTGGAACAGGGAGTTATTCGAGAGCGACAAAATATCTACATGAATTTGTAATTTAATTTAACTTGTTGTGATTGGGTAGTAGGTTTAGAGACTTTATTATAAGTTGATTTTTAGGTAAGATGTACTAATCTTGTTCCTTACACCATGAAGCAACACATATATATATATAACAAAAGAAAGTATAATTAAAATGGATTAGTCCAAAAACATTCTTAAGAAATTTAACAGAATGGTCATTATCAGACTTTGGTAACCAACTCGGCTGCATTAATTATGTTAATTGTTAAGATAGATTAAATATTCTTTCGATCACTTTTATTTATTCATTATATTAAAAATAAATTTTCAGTTATACTTGTTTAATTTGAATAATCAAAAGCTAATTTACTATTTCATATCTATTTCACATTTATTATTAAGTACTACTCAGTTTCAATTCATTTCCATCATTTAAATAACTTATAATAATTAAAAATAATACAGTAAAATTATTATTTTTATTTATTGTTATAACAAATCAAACATAAACAAATAAATCCTCCCTAGTACTGAGTGAGTGAGAGTTCATCATTTTATGTGAAATCAATCAACAATTGTTGTTTTTCTTATATTGTTTAATTTAAAGTACGTTTATTAAACAAAACAAGAAGGGCTTAACATATTCTTATAGGAGTAGTTCTTGTTTTTAATATCTTTCACCCTTTATTTTATTTTTATTTTTCTTGTCATATAGGAGTATATATATATTGTTTTGACTTTACATTATTTTCCTTATTAGCTGTTGTTATATGTTTTTTAATATTTTCTTCTTTATATTTAAATTTGTTATATTTGAGCGGAAAATCTTCAAAAAAACTTCTTTTACTCTACGAAGTACTAGTTAGATCTATGTATTCTTTACCTTTCTCAGACACCATTTTTGATATTTTACTTTATTTATAGTTTTTGTAATTACACAAAATATATAACTGGAAAAAAAATTTGGGAGGGTTAAATTTGTCATATAACATAGTGCTCCAGTAGCATAATAACATCACTCAAAACTTCAACTTCTTAAAGCAGAATGTAAAATCAGTTTGAAGTCCCCAAACATGGCGGTGACGGACTTTTTCGTCGGCGAAATCACCACCGAACTCATAAAAAACCTTCTGCTAATAGTTAAAAAATCCACTTTATGCCGTTCAAGCGCCGAGAATCTCATCGACAGCATCAATGGTCTCCTTCCAATCATCCAAGAAATCAAACAAACCGGTGTTGAACTTCCACAGATACGTCAAACTCAGATCGACGATTTCTCCAAACTTCTCCGAGATGGTTACGAACTCGCCGGAAAAGTTATCCACTCCGGCCGTTGGAACATGTACAGGTGTCACCTTCTCATTCGACTCTAATTACAGTGAATTGAACCTCTTCCTGCTCTAATTAGGGTTATTGAATTGTGCGAATCTGTTAGAAATTACTTAATTTATATTATGCCTTGATAACAGGAACCTACAGTTGGCTAGGAAAATGGAGAGGCTGGAGAAAAGAGTAGCGAGGTTCATGCAAGTTACAATGCAAGCTCATGTACTAGCGGATGTTCATCATGTTAGGTTTAGTATGGAGCAGAGATTTGACGTGCTTGAGCATAGGCTTAAAGCTATAAAAATCGGAGTTGACGATAGAAGTGGTGGTGGTGGTGGTGGAGGAGGAGGGTGTTTAGGGGAAGCTGTGAAAAGAATGGAAGAAGATGAGAAATGGTTTGAGGATAGTTTTGTAAATTTAGGTGCTGGGATTGAATTGGGGAAGAGGAAAGTGAAGGAGATGCTGATGGGTGAACAGGATAGAGGTGTGTTTGAGATTTGTGGAATTGGGGGTAGTGGCAAAACTACC